CGATTTCTGAGCGAAAGACAGCCCATAGGCCCACCGCCTGTAGGGAGAGGTGTCACGTGCTGTATGTGTGTGAACGTGGTAGGTAATCCAAGTGGTTCATCAAAGGTCTTAGAGTTCAACATCAAAACATTTGGGAACGAAAACACTTCATGTAAGTAAACGTCTTCCATCCATATCAACTGTTGCTTCAAGGATATCAGCAATTCTGTATGTTGTAAGTTTGGTCCGCAAGATGTGCCGGTGACAGAAGTGTTGATGTGAAAGAATACGTCTACCAAGCACCGCGAGAGCCGATTAGCATATGAATAGGTGAGCATGGACCACCAGACACATGTCACTTATCCAATACATTGAGTGGTGGTGGCCCGGAGGTAATGTCACCAAACTGTTACCCCAGAGGACGTTTTTCAAATCCCACCACTACCGCCTGACTTTCTCCATTCTTTTTATGTTGTCTGGTAGCCCTTTGATTGGCCACCTCCCTCTTCCTGAAAATTGCATCATAATGTATTCAATAAAAGGAAGTAAAAATTAAAGAAAAAATTCTAGAGCAACCAAATATGTTTCGTTTTTCAGCTCATTCGATCCATCCAGCTGATTTTTGTTGATTTTGTCGTCAAAGCAGCCGCAAAACAACAAAAATGTTGTACATACGTGTGTATAGAAGATGCAAATAGGTCGTCGACGACGCTGAATATTAGACTGCAGATTGCAGAAAAATTCCGTTCATACGGGCAATTAAAACCATATAACTACGTGTAAAGCATTGTTTCTTTCGTAACCCCCTTCACACTGATTGAATTACACTTTTGGTTCGTACGTCAATGCGACATTCAACACTGCAGTTCTCGTGCACACCCCGTAGTCCTGTCATTCGAATCTACCCGTGAATTGCACACTGATTTCTGAACTGCGTCTTTCGATCGAAATCATCAACGAACACAGATCAAATGACGCGACTTTTTGATGATGCGCGCTTCCCATTCGTTGGGTCATTCGTCTACACACACACACAATTCTGTCAATTTCAAGCTGTGATCCATAAATCGTACAATATCTAGCAACATCCTGGTAACCGTTCTGCTCACTGGTTATTTGCCCACATCGGGTTCACCTTTCTGTTGTCATCTGTTTGTTTTCGGTGTTTTGTTCCGTATTCCTCAGTCACCCTTTTATTTTCTCAGCTAGCATTGTTCTCATCCAAGAAGCGAACGACACTCAAGCTGACTGTTAGTTCAATCGGCCATTTACCCTCCGTCTTTCCCTGTCTCTTTGCTCTTTCTGTGTCAGGGACTTACACCACTTCACATGGCCGCGGCCCATGAACAAGGAGATGCGATCCACCTGTTGACTTCTGTTTACGGTACGCCATCCGGGGTGCCTATTGATTCGAGGTCATACTGTCGGGTTTTTCGAATCTTGTTTTCCTCCTCGGTTGTTATAGCAACGCACAGTGAAAATGAAGTACAGTCTGAACACTGTCCCAAAACGTATACCATAACATATAAATCACGATTTTTTTCTCTCTAGGCACTCCCCCCCCACGGCTCAAACAATTCACTAATTAGCGAAGTTATGGGAATAAAAAAGCAGCTGGACTCAGTCACGTGAGCAGCTTCGCTCCAGATTATTGCTGAATCTTTATTGCCTCATCACCGACTCGCGGGGTGTACAATGGTCGGTTTCAGTAGCAGATAAGACAATAAGTCACGTTCATTGGATGCTTCGTTATGCGATGCTTATTGGCAATTTAATGGCAATTGTTTTCAGCTGGTGTCCACCTCACACGTGGTCTCTCACCTCTCCGTACTGCACAAAATTTGAAAATGTTCGCATTCTCTCTAACCGTGTCAATTCATGTACAAATGCATCGATCGTTGAGACCGGGTAAATGACTAACATTCAATTGAACTTTTCTTATCAAAGCAGTGTACGGCCTCGAGTTAAGTCAACCCTCTGCGGATTCCGAGAGAGAGAGAGGATATTACGTTCCGAATGATTAAGGAGTTGTAACCGAGCGAGTTCGAAATTGGAGGGCGAACACTTATCAACGGGCTCGCTGTGATACAGCCAATAGGTCGTAGCTTTGATATATCGAGGTTCAGTATCCGTTGTCTGAACTGCATTATGTTGAAGTTTCTCGCCTGCTTGCTTGTCACTCCAGTCAATGAGAAAGAACAGTGAGTTTATCAGGCACACCGTCGCATTAGGGATGCCCATGGAAGAGTCACGATAATACGGTGCGAAATGGGTCCCCAGCATCATTCACACGTTTTACTCGAGGCTGCTACTCCTCGCTCTTATCCCATCTGCTTCATCAGGTCCCTCCGAATTACGATTAGTATCTCAGTGGGATCTTGGAGCAAATTCTGTACTAACGGCATCACACAGCGGATCGCATGGACGATCACAGGGTACTTTCACACCCGTCTGAATCCAGACCGTGTGCCAAACAAATCATAGTACAATGGTCTTTATAAAGAAAGTTAAAGTTCCATGAGTTGTTTGTAGACGGTATACTGCCAGATTGCCCAGGCCAAGTCAAGTGAATTTTCGTGGACAGTTCACAACTGCATCCGTTGACCAGCCGAAATCCGACCCGCAAGTCAACGGAGTGGTGTGAAGAAACCGCGGCAACTCGCCCTTCGGACGGGGTTAGACGTCCGAGGTGACGGAGTCATTTCGGCTAATGGTTGTACAAACTATACTGATCATGAACTCTTTCAGGTGCGTCTATCACACAGGGGTTTTACCGTAATCCGTTTGTCGCTTGCTAGCTTCAAACGTGGGTCCGGAAAAACCGGAGCGGACGCTTAACTTATGTCAGCCTAGTGGGAAGACCGTGTCAGTATAAATTGTCAATGAATCCAAATGCAAAAATGTCACGTCAACCAACCAACTGGTCGTCTATCCATACCGGCACACACCAGTTGCAGCCACTTTTCTCTGGTTCAGATTAACACCTTTGAACCCAACCAACGGCTATCGTCTTGCAAACATTTCCCAGCCCACTTATTTGCTAGAGTTTGATAAAGGTTAATAAAACAACACGTGTTTGCACACCGACCAGTTTTTTCCAATTGCAGTTCTACTCGCTTTGAATAAATTCAACCGCACTGTTTGATGTCCTTCACATCCAATGTACAAAATGCTTGGTATGAAGTATATTTTAGAAAAATCATTATGAATATGCCAGGTCATGACTACCTTTTTTAAATCCCATATTCCGCTCGACAGGAGCAGACACTGGTGTACGTGATGGCAGTGGTCGATTGCCAGTCGAATGTTTACCCGGTACAAAGAATGGTCAACTGTTGAAAAGTAAGTTTCAGATCAGATTGTTTTTGTTTGTGACTAGCAACAGTCTATCTTTGTACATGCTATCGGTTATCAGTGCTCGATTGTGAAGCCCCCTTTTCTGTTCTCTTTCCTGGTGCGCCGAATTCGAATCCACATGGGATTCAGATAGCCAGCCCATTTGGAAATAGGTAATCTGACACCACACTGGTTCACTAGGTGAGTAAATTTTGCGGTTCGCATGCATCGGCTTCTATTCAGCATGCATGCATATGTGTACATCTGTACACCATTCCCGGTCCGGTCCACCTACCTGCCCTCTCTGGCTAGATATCGTTCGTAGCCCCTTTTTGGCCTCGTTGCCGCCGTCGCAACGTGGGTGATAGATTATTCTGCCTTGTTTCTTCATGTACCGCAGCCTCATTGCGGTTCGGTTATGTTCCTAAAGGGAGCTACACATAGGTCATGCTGGTCCCATGGTTTAAATCGCTGTGACCGGCGTACTCTGAGATGGTCTGTGGTTTGAGCCCTCTCATTGTCTCTCAACTGTGATAATAGACAGTTTCATTGTCATCCGGCTTCGTATCATAACTCGTCACGGGACCCGGGACCGAAGTCAACTCGTGGATCCCCGTCGTTGTGCCGTTGTTTAAGTGAACATGAATACTTTGGATCGTCCAGTTGTTTCGCATTGCTGTTGCAAAAAACCGCCGGCCCTCAATCATACTAAAGCCTTCGGAGGTAGATTGGTAAACCACGTACGACTCCCACTTCTACATCATGGTATTACCTCGGCCAACGTATTTCAGATTCTCATCAACAGTCCTTCAAACTATGTCTTGTTGCATAGTCCCTGTTACTTTCATCTGCAATCTGCTGCTACTTAACTCTGTATCAATCACCGATGTATCAACACTGTTCCTGTTCGATATCGCAATTGGATGAACGATATCGACCACAATATCCCATGCAAGTATCTGTTGCTTATCGGGGGGGGGGGGGGGGGGGGNATATCGGTAACTCATGGTTATCAGAACGATAAGTGTAATTGAGTGAGGGCTTTCGTTTAGTCTAGTCTTGATTGATTGGGTAAGACCAAATTTTTTGTATGCTTTGGAGTTTTGCGTATCTTAGACTACTACCGCAGCGCGCCTTATTCGCAGTGGCTGTTGCCTACTGGAGAAAGCTGCGTGGAGGCCAGCAGATAACATGGAGACGAGGCATGAAAAAATGCACAGAGCGATTAGGTAGAGTAGATGTCTCTTGTCTTCCGGGTTGGGGTCCGAAAGACCAGTAACCACGTGGTTGGAGGCACTAAAGGTCATGGTGATCGTACTGTGACTTATTATCAGACCAGAATACTTGAAATAATATGTATGCGCAATTGAACTGTGTACTCTATGTGCTGACCATAGAGGTTCGTTTTCTTTTCCCTTCCCTAAAAATGGGCCCAATCCTTGCTCTCCTTACACATTTTCACTTACCCTGTATGCATTGTGAGTTTGACAGCGATAAGTGAAGTTCGCCTCACTGTATTGCGCTGTAAGATGATGATTGAAGATCAAAGTTCATCAGACTTGCCCAATCCTCCTCAGTTGAAGGGTCATCTCAGCTGATCGACGCAATCATAATCATCAGCAAAATGTTTTCGTAGATCCGCTCTATCTATCTATCTATCTATCTATCTATCTATCCATCTATCTATCCATCTATCTATCTGTCTGTCTGTCTGTTTGTGTGAGAGAGCATCCGCAACTCGAGTCCACGGGCACAAATTGACCAACCAAACGCATAACGCTCTCCCACGCATCCGAAGTCACGAAGACCGAAAACGTGCAACCTATCGATCAGGCTTGCAACCAATCCTAGAAAATACTACTGGATCCTTCATATTTATCAACTGGTACGTCAAAATCGGCATGAGAATCCATCAATGTACACCACATCAGGATAACAGCAACACATTTATCAACATACGACCAAGCACGTGACATCGTTTACTGATTTCGTATGGTATTGAGACAAGGTGAATTGAAAAGAAACCACCCCACCCACTCCGTATCGGCGAGCTTCATGGTACTTGCCTGTTTATACACGGAAAAACCGGTTTAGCTTGAACGGCCACCCATTGGATGGGTGGTGAGGTGTTTGCGATCGAGTGACGGATTTCGGTGAAAGACACTGAACACCTTTCACTTCGGAAAGCAGACCATATGTGTTGCTTTCGGACAAAAATGAAAACGTGCCTTGTTTACTGATACGTTGAACATCTTGATATGTAACTGCGTGAAAGCGGGCAACGTATCAGGTGATGATAGACCAGGGTAACCTTTATTCTTTACCGGCATCCGCAAAAAGTACTTCGTTGGAACTGAGTGCGGTCACACGGCGCTGAAATGTGATTGACATATTAGTTTATTTCACCCAGTGACGTGCATCTACGAGTTCCAGTGAACACAAAACGAATAGACGGGCGAATACCACAGATAACTGCCAACAGCTTTACAAAACTTTTTTGGTGATGTTGACATATGCGACCCGTAGACCGTACGTCGTGAAAACGTTCGCAGATAAATCAACTATTTCGTGAAGAGATTTTCTAATCCTTTTTTATTTGATACATAGTTCCTTCCGTCCAAATTCTATAGGGCTCGATGTGCAAATTAATGAGAAAATGCACTTGACAAGAAAAATTGCGAAAAAATTTGCAGATTGGAATCGGATTGATGCCGATGTGATAAGCCAAGAACACCGTTGAAATCAATAATCCGAATATTCTAAAACGTCAGTCAGAATGCATGTCGAGCCCACAACAACCGATGCCACTTTTATTCCACAATTATAGCATCAAATGACACTTCTGACTTGCCCTCATCTTCAATGTCAAATGATCGAGTTGTACCGTCAGACCTTTGGTTCTTTGTCTATCCCTTTTTATCGATGCGAATCTTGACCTCACATCAAACGATCTTCCCGCAAGCTCAAGCAAATAAGCAAATTATTCCTTTGTGGTCCTATGATGGCCTGTAAATCGGGACTAACCGAATAAACACGGTTGGAGAAAACTGCCTTCGAAAATAAGTAAATTCGCCGTGATCAATACCTCCTGTTTTCGTTTTGTTCTTCTTGATTTAACCAGTCGAATTTTGTCAATTCCCAATGAAATCCGCTTCAGTCATAAAACTTCTATAGTAACCTGCTAAAGGATACTACCAATTTACTGATCGTAGATACATGACAGGCACTCTACCCTGTCATCATATGCTATCTTGTGTGATGAGTGCCTCATTCGGAATGTAAATAACGGAGTAGGAATAATTGCATTCTTGACTTTGCCAGTTCATTCACATTTGAAGGATAGCATCATTGTGATCTGTCTTAGCCTGTGTGTGCGTGTGCGTGTGTAGTTCACTAATTGTATCTGCTCCTCTGAGTTCGTGTTTGTGCTCGTTCCGTTCTTCTACAACACAACAACACACCGTCACGTGACTTTCATATGTGCCTCGGGTTGTCAATCACATCACACGACTGTCGTGGATTCGCGCACGGGTTATGCGTTTCGCCGAGAGATGAGCACAATGGAATTCTTTATCCGCGTTGACTGTACACACCTCAGACAGAGGTAGACAATTTGACCACCTTAGTTCGGAGCTGTATTTTCTTTCCTGGTCTGTACAAACGATGAGTGCATTGAGATCAGACTGTCCCTAACGGATAAGATCGGGTTTATGGAACGCCATACTGGTCTTCGGCACAATTGTTCGTACCCAACTTCGGCATCTTTCCAGCTACATTGGATCGATTCCATTCCAAAGGTAGCAATTTAGGTGGGGGGGGGGGGTCCAATCACTCGTTGAATAATATTCTACCTAATGATGAACGTTGGAAAAGGTCATTGTTTCGAGCATACAATGCGTAATGCATTGCATGGATCAGTGCTAGTAAACTGATGCTTTACAAATCGCAATAAATACGCAAAACCTTCGTTTCGTTATTGTGGCAACTGATATACCAGTCTCAAGCATAATGATAATAATCGTTTCACTTTCACCTGTTTGCAGATATTCAAATAATCACATACTCTAAGTGATCAATAGCTCGACGGTGACAGGAGTCGACCTCATAAATCTCTTTGAACTATTTTACATAGCAGAATTGCGTACATGTAATTGTGTATTAGTTCTGGTTAGTTGGAAGAAATCAGCTTCCTCTCATGATTGGATCAGAGCAACGCCAAGACTCCAGCGTCTAATCCTATTGGCTAGTTCCTTTCCTAATGTGCTTCTGGAAGTAACCCGGGACCAGTCTTTGTCATTTGACCACATATTTTCCCGTCTTAGACCCACAGGTACGAGTAGAAATGGTGAGAGGTTGTGCGCGCGTGTTTCGTGCACTCGTTGGGTTCAACGTACCGAAAAAAATAAACTGAAATTTAGATTTGGTTTTTCATACTTTCTCCGTCCTGGAACGAATGACTATACTGTACAACGAAAATACGGTCGTATCGCTGCGTTCGAACCTCACCGGTCTGTTTCACTGTGAAATGCGTAGGTAAATTTCGAAACTTGTTGTCAGTGAGCATGGAGCAATTTACGAACAACTGAAGAATTCGTACCCACTGGAGTTTTCAACTATCACTTCGAACAGAGTGAAAATTCTTGGTTGAAGTGAAACATGCGCGTGCCTTGATCACACTCTTTACCCGAACCGAGGACCGTACGCGAGGGTCCTTAATGTATTCGATTGAGCCGATTTTTTGTTGTCGCGAAGAACATATCCTTATGGTCGGCTCGTACACGCACTAATCTGTTTATTTGCACTGCACGCAATCGCAGAATATGGTCAAGTTCCGCGGAGTCTAGCCGGGCACAGTTCAACTGCTCCGATGCACCGACAAGGTGACCTCAGTTCGGGTTTCACAATCATTCGGCATGTACCTTCGTGCAGAAATTTTGTCCACCGCATTTTGGCTATCCGCTTTTATTAAACGGCAGAAGGAAGACGGGAATATTGATAGCTGTGTCAAACAGCCAATAGGAAATTCTGAGAGAGTAACTTTGAAAAAAAAAACGATTGATAGGATACACAGGTGTCACTCTTTGTCATATCACTCAGTGTCTCGGTTGGGTTAATCCTACGATCCCTATTTAGGAATACTGAAGCGCCCCGATAAGCACACAAAACACAAGGTTAGATTGAATATATGTGGTGTCTTGCCAACTGTCACCGAACCTGGTCTTACAATGCGCACCCCGACAATTACAGTAAAAAGATAGTTACAAACTGTGCGAGCCTTTATTGGTATCGCCAGCCAAAACGTAGCCGACCAAGGAAGAATGTGGTATTTATGCGGTTCCTCACTGTCTAGATATTTGTCCGGAATGGAGGTTACGTGGGCAGCGATTGCTACAAATCAGGTCACCGTACTCTGTTCGTCACTCTGATGCCCACGCATCCAGTACTGTCGAGAGGGGGGAGGGGAGGTGGAATTCCTGGGGCTTTACCCCTACTAACCTCCAGAGCTGAGTTCCACGGTTTACGTGGTTTACGGTTTCACGTCACCTTCATATTAGGCAAGCTGGAAAACAAATCTGCGGACTAGACAGTAGTCGCACGGAGCTTGTTGTTTTCCTATAGGAAGGATGAGACTGTCCTTAATCATAGACTATAAGTTGCGCGAAGTTAGTGTTCGCGTTCTTGCTTCAGTTCTATTCTGACCAATGACCTTGTTCTTAACACAGTTTGATTGCGATAAAAGCCCACCACGAACTAGGTGAAATTAGTTGTCAGTTGAAAGACTAACACGGAAGAGTTTTTGTAAACAACAAACCGCTTGACTTTCCTGTAAGCCGCAGAACTTTTGTATGTGATATCAAACTGAATTGTTGCTAGTGCATTGAAGTAAAATTATCATATTCCAGTGTAATCTGTGATGTGACATTGAATCAAAGCAACCGAATTACCGAAGCAATGAACGAGCGGTCTACAATTCTTCATGTGTAATAAAAAAGAGGCGTTTTATGTCCAGTTGTGAATCGAAATCGATTATAACACAGTCGAACGAGTTCTCAGTCCCGATAAACAATGATTGAAACACCCTAGTCTCCTCATAATCATTCTGTGTGTGATTGCCTATTCTCTAAATAGAGCATTAACGAATTCCCCATCCCAATCGTCTGCTGTTTTGCATGAACCATGACGTTTATTGCTCTAGTTGGATTCCCACTTACGTGATGCATCTGTGTCCGTTTTGGCTCGTAGATTGTAATTTCTAAACCATCTACTTCACTGTTTGTTATCATTTTCAGCGTACACTAATTGTTCATGGCATATGAGTAATTACCGATCTTTTTGTATTTGTTTTCATTTCAATTTCCCGGACAGAATATTTCAAGAATCCGCTTGCGACCTTACTAAGCAATCGAAAGAATTGTGAGTCACTGGAGGATTTTTTTGTGTTCGGTCTACTGCGGATTTTCGAAACAGACAGAGCCGATGTGTGCAGTTGAAGGAACTGCGTGAAATGAGACTAACTAGAAATAATGTGTGATATTTTAATACCATCCATGTACTACTATGCTTCTGTGGTTCGTTACCCGATTTTTCACCTTTGCTCATGGTCATGATGTTTCAGTTTTCAGTCATTGTTTTTTTTGCCTTAGTTTATGTATTTTCAAATTCTGTTCATGCTCACGACCAACGCTGAGGCTAATTCAAACAACCAGACTATACCGTTATGCGGTCAAAAATGTTACTTTTGTAGCCGAACGACCACGGGTGAAAAACGCCCCAAACAAGGCACGTTGGGAACACCTTGTCACTCCCCTGCGTTCTTCTGTCTTTATGCAAATGCCAGGAGCAAGGNGAGCAAGGATAAAAAGTTCACTGAGGAGATTTTCGATCTAATACTTCTTTCCCTCGAGTGCTCACGGTTCACTCGCGTTTTGTCACCTCAAATGACAAGACTACTAACTGTTAGAGTTTGTTTAGGATTGGTACGTGTTCGGGCGAACGGATGAGCCTTTGGATCGCCACAGTTCTTCATCAACACCGAAATCGTTAGTAAAGGCTAAAAATGATGCGTTCGAGTTCGAAACCCATGACTGAAAGCTGGCTACCTGCATACGTGTAGATCAAGTCATCGCATATAACTGTGTAGCACAGACTGACGGAATGAGCGACGAGGTTGAGTGGGAATGAATGCGAATGCTGAAAGACTTCGGCGTTGCTAGTCCCCTGGCTTGAATCCTTCCCGTTGCTCTGGTTTCTTTCAACTACTTGAGTGGATTTCACTTTTGAACTAACCACGTCAAATCTAAGAGGGATGGATGATGACTGTGTTTCTTATTTTCCTCGCAAAGCGTATCCTGATAGAAACATTCATTTTTGACTTTTACTGGTTCAACTTTGGAACACAGAATACTCCTCAGTTATAAGAAATGGATTTTTTCACCTAGCGTTCTTTCAACTTGCACAGAACAAATTTTGGTCAGGGCCAGATAGTATGGTCGACTGATTGTTTGGCTTCCAACACTACGAGTCAACAGGCAGAATGTGCGGTGCAGTATCACGTCTTAGGTGGTCGTGATCATGACGTATAGATACAGACCATGGATTACGCTGGTTGGGACATGTGCTACGCATGTCACCAGATAGATTGCCACGGCGAACGATGTTTGCCGAGGCAGGTAGTGGTTGGAAAAAAATCAAGGGCGGTCAAACAAAGACCTGGCATGAGGGTATGAAAACCCTAACCAGGAGACTGACTCACATTGGTCCCGTTAGGCTCCCTGGCTGCGGACCCAGAGATCATGGTAACCGATCGTTAGAGGCACACCTTGGCAGATTTTGTTCACAGGCACATCCAGAAGATGGAGCATTTCAATCCTGTGGACGCCAATCAAATTCAAGTTAGGCCTGTTGGTAAGGTAACACCTCCATCTTGTCTGCATACTATTGAACGAAACGTCACACTGAAGCTCACCAACGAGACGTAGTAATCCGCAAACATACGTTCTGTGCTTTACTATTGATCAAATTTAATAGGGGTCGCCCTAGAGCATGCCAAGTTCGTTTTGANNNAATAATGCTGCCGGTGGGATATCTGCGCATTTTCCTCAATCCCGGCTCGACAGCAGACACGATCTCTGGACTTTTGGATCCATACATGGTTGACGGTTATTTGAGCCATCTTGGCTTGTGAAACCCCTTTGCCGTAGAGAAATATTCAGTGCGGCAGTAGTCTTCCTTGTGCTCTTGCTTGCGGCATTTCTCACACGTTTTCATTGGAGGGACAGTAGCTTGCATAAATGCCATTCTCGGCACTTCCAACATTCTATTGGAGGGCTTCTGGCGGCAGCTTTCGTGCAGACATTGACCGTGATTTCATACCAACATGAACACTAGCTGAG